TGTTCATTCATAATTCATTCACACATTCAATCCATTATTTATTCATAATAATAAATAAATAATAATAATAACAATAAATAATAATAACCAAGAAAAACGACATAAGCATCGTCGAATGATATGTTGCAAAATTGTGGTACTCCGGGACTTTTATGCCAGAATTTTGCTTCGTTGAGAAACTTGTAACATACGTAAGCTGGCTTGCATCTGTGATGGTTGTTCACTTTTTTAACTTATTCATTCATTCATCTATTCATTCATTCATTCATTCATTCATTCATTCATTCATTCATTCATTCATTCATTCATTCATTCATTCATTCATTCATTCATTCATTCATTCATTCATTCATTCTTTCATTCATTCATTCATCCATCCATCCATTCATTCATCCATCCTTTCATTCATCCACTCTTCTATTCAATACAAAAATTCATCAATCAACTAACAACACTCTCAAATCACAAAAGGTCATCAAAGGGGGTAAGGGGAGGTTGAGGGCTGACCTCACCCCCACCACCATTGGATTCAAATTTCTTTTCTGCTCCTCATTCATCAACTGGCCGTGCGTGACTGACAGACTGACAAACGACTTCACTAACTTAGGTAAGGTTTTACCTGAAATTGCCTCATTGCCACTAGCATCTTTGGCAAATTCGTCGAATATAAATTCTCTTGTGACTGTAATCGGGGATTTACTATCTGAAATTTAAAAAAATTAAGTATTTCTTTATAAAAATTGTTAAAAATTTGAACAGACTCGAGTAGAACTTGGCAAAAGGTAATGAAGTCTTATAATTTTCATTGTAAGTTGGCTCTGGTAGTTTCTGCGATGTCTTCTCGTCCTCTATATCATCGATACTTATTTGACTTTTGCCGCTTGCCGTACGCGATGCTTTCAAACTTTTCGCACCTACGAAAAAATTATTTTATAATGAAACAAATTAATTATTAATTAATCATTATTATTTAATTAATTATTACTAATCATTATTATGAATATTAGTCAAGTTGTGGCAATGACCTGATTTTTATCTAACACAGAATCACAAATATTCAAAGGCGCTACAAATTTATGTGATAAGATTAATTAAAACATAAATAAATAACAATAATTATGAAAAATAATTAGTTAATTGTGAATAATAATCAATTAATTATGAATACTAATTAATAATTTCTGGATAACAAACAATTAACACCGACTTGCGTTTTTGCTACTAGTCCTACTGGCCTTACTTGACCTACCATACTTACTATCATCTTCCAGGCGATCAGACATCTGATCAAACACACTAGCCACTTCGGATTTCATAATTCTCGGCAATAACGACGTTTCATTTAACAGTTTAGCCCTCTTTATCCTCTCTTGCCTTATCAGTTCTTTCCTTTGTAAAGTTTCCATTGTTAGCTCATGAGGGCTTTGGCAGTTTAGTGGTCTACTTGTGTCTGGTTTTTTGGTTGAGTTGGTTGATTTGCAGATGTCTTTTATCAGGTGTTTCAATGTCGTCTTATCACCTTTGAGAGGCAATTTTTTAAAGTTTTTAAACGATTGAGTTTTAATGGTAATATCTTTTTCTGATTTAATCAAGTTAATTTTTGTTATTTTAAATAAATTTAATTAAAAACTAATGAAAGCATTTGATAATGCTGTTAACTTTACAGGAGAACCAAAACTTATAAACTCACTTAGGCTAATTTCGAATAATTTGTTCATTTTAATCTTATCAACGGTCACTCTTGGGGATATTTTTTTCAAGTTAGTTGTTAGGACAATGTCAATTTTTTCGTTGGCTAACTTCATCAGCTGGTCATCGTTGGTCAGTCTTAATGTGTGGCTTAGTGGTAGATACAAGGGTTAAATTAAGTGATCTCAAGTACATGCATGTTTGTATAACATACGTTAAGAATTTATGTATGTGTGTGTTTGTATGTTTATATATGTGTGTGTGTTTGTATGTGTATGTGTAACTAAAACTAACACGCGCTGATATTAACGCAATTATAACATAAAATTAAAACATGAATTGTGAATTATAGAAATTGTAATGAATGAATTATGAATTGAAGAGCATAATTCATACTGATTGGTCCAGGTGATCCATCTGTTAGATGTAAAACCACCATCCCTATTACCAGAAATGCCACCATCACGATCATCTTCATCATCATCATCGTTGTACACCGCAACCAGTTTTGTATCCTTACCATCGATGGAAACTTTGGCTACGTTGACTTCATCATCGACTACAACGTCAACTTTGACAGATCTTGTGGAGTTGAAGTTGGGGAAATTATACTCGCAGTGGATGCACGTTACGTTGGGTTTGGGCTGGTCGGCCGTAGTTTGCGATTGGGATGTTGGGATTTTGGATTTCGATCTGCTCTTTTGGGGTTTATTTCTCTCTGATTTCTTGGATTCTTTGCTAGGTTTTTCATTTTTTGCAGGTTTTGTTGAAGTTTTGTCAGGTTGTTGAGGTTTGTTGGGATTGAAATTTGCCTGCCTGCATTTGCCTGTGGGTATGTGCATTATCAAATGAATTATTATCAGTGCTACTATTGAAGTGCTGTGTTGATTTTATGAATATAATTTTTTTTCTGTGTTGTAGTGACCGCATTTGAATGCAAAGAAATCCTCCTCGCCTTCTAGCGTATGATTTCGTGTATGTATGAATTTTTATATTTTGATGGAATGATTGATTGATTGATTGATTGATTAATTGATTGATTGATTGATTGATGATTGATTGATTGATTGATTGATTGATTGATTGATTGATTGATTGATTGATTGATTGATTGATTGATTGATTGATTGATTGATTGATTGATTGATTGATTGATTGATTGATTGATTGATTGATTGATTGATTGATTGATTGATTGATTGATTGATTGATTGATTGATTGATTGATTGATTGATTGATTGATTGATTGATTGATTGATTGATTGATTGATTGATTGATTGATTGATTGATTGATTGATTGATTGATTGATTGATTGATTGATTGATTGATTGATTGATTGATTGATTGATTGATTGATTGATTGATTGATTGATTGATTGATTGATTGATTGATTGATTGATTGATTGATTGATTGATTAGCTGACTGATTGATTAGCTGACTGATTGATTAGCTGACTGATTGGACCTGTCTAAAAATCATCGAAACGAAACAAATTCTAATGAAAATTTATTAAAATGCTGTAACGGAATACAACCTATCCTCTCGAGATTTATCAAAAATTTCAGCGAGAAGATGATTTTATCATCCACACTGACGATATTCTCAACTAATTTCGAATCAAGTTCTCTGACTGCATCCTCTGTAGGCATTATCCAATTAGACTCAATTGCTAAGTAAGTGTTAATTTAGGTTAATTAACTGCTAATGAACTAATGAATGAATGAGTGGATTGATGGGTGAATGAATGAATTAATTAATTAATTTATGAATGAATGAATGAGTGATGAACGAATGGATGAATGGAAAATATTAAAAATTAATTGAGACACAAGTTTAATTAACATTAGTGTTGATAAGACTGTATAATATGAAACTATATACACAAATGATTATAAAGTTTTATTATTGTTCATATTTTTATTATTCTTATTAATATTAATTAGAAAAGTGAACTCCTGTCTCTATGGAGACATTTAAACATAGATAGACTATTTCATTACTGCAGTGTTTGTGTATATGGGATGATGACAAACTCCTGTTATGTAAATCTACGATGTTTATAAATATAGGTATTCATAAATGAATTCATTCATTTGTTTGTTTCGTCATTCATTCATTAATTCATTCATTCATGCTAATAAGTGTCTTTTTACTTTTCATTTGTTTGCTTGTTCACGTACACACACACACCCCACACACACACACACACACACATACAGACAGACAAATGAATCACGTGCTTTATAAATCATTGGCAATGATGAATGTTGAACGGTAGATCGAACCATTTAATATGCGTATATAATAATAATAACAATAAAAAAATTATAACCATTATTATTATCATTACAACAAACTGAAAACCATTACTACTAATTCTTTCTAATACAGCGTCCAACTTTTTACTCTAGTTGATACCATGACTCATAATTTTGCAATGTGTTTAAGTGTATGTGTATGTGTGTATGTATGTGTGTATGTAAGTGTGTGTATGTATGTGTGTGTTTGTGTATTTGTATGTATGTATGTGTGTGTATGTGTGTGCGTAGGTATGAATCTTCATTTGATTTTATTGCAAGTTAGCTTCTAATTTGATGAATAATTTTTAGTAGTTTGAGAGCGAACTACGAATACACACACACATAAGTATTGGATCGCTATTCCTGTCTGACAGGCAGAATTTTGTTACTAATCAACGTATGAGGTGTCAGATAGCAAAAAGTACGTTGCGTATGTTGTTAGTCATAGTGAGTCACAACATTAGGCAGTATCAGTCGCATTGTTGTATCAACTCGCAACACCCATCATGGAGCAAATGCATCAAACGCCCGGTCTATTGTTTTTAATTGTATATAAAGAGAACCTTCCTTCAACATGCAGATCATAAGAAAGAATCTACAAGTTTTTCTCAAATTTTACCATTAAATCTACAAGTTGTAAGCTCGTTTAGAATTTGTAAAAGTTTCATCTGGCTTTGTTATTTTTTCTTCTCGAGGGGATCGAAGAATAGAATAAGTTTACGTAGATACGTAGTTAGAAAGTTTAATACTATTTCTAAATTTTTAATTATTAATTCTCTCTGAACTTAATTATAAACCAGAGGCGTATCACCAACACGCACGTACGCACGCACGCACACACACACACGCACACGCACACTCTTAATTACAGTAACGAGCATTGCATATTAAAATGTCATTATTATTATCTAAAACCACACGCTAATGTGTGTATAGTTAAGAACAAATCAAAGAAAAACATAAACTTTGATGAGAATTTATTTTTAAATTTTCAACAGGTTGGAAAATGTTAAAAGAGAAGAAAATGATGTGTGGTTATTTCTACCTGCTGGCCATACTCATCACCATCTTGGCCACTCGAGGAACATCTGCGGTTAGTTGTTTTTATTGAATTTATTTATTTTTTTCAAACAAATACAAAATAATTTTTTCATTTTTACAAAAAAAACATCGATTAATTTTTTCAATCCAATGACTTTTACTATCATGTCAAGAGTTTAAAAATCAGTGACGTCATAAATTTTTAGAGATAGTTTATTTACTAAAAACAATTATATGTTGAATATTTCGTTGAAAAATATATTTAAAAATTTTTAATTTTAATTTTCAGAGAGGATTTATACCTCCCCCTCCCCCACCACCACCCCCACCACCAGGAAATGGTCAACCCCCTCCTCCTCCTCTTCCTCCTCCTCCACCAGGTGGTCAGCCGCCACTAGGGGATGTTAAATGTACACTCCCACCATCTCCAAATGATCTTCCACCACCACCACCACCACCGTTTCTGATTGGTCAATCACCTCCAAATGGCCCTTTACCACCTCCACCACCACCTCCACCATCGAACTGCACTTTACCCCCAAATGGCCCTCCACAAAATAATCAATCATCTACAAATGGCTCTTTCCCAAATGGTCCTCCACCAAATGGCCAACCACCTCCACCAAATGGTCAACCTCCTCCACCAAATGGTCAACAACCTCCAAATGGCCCTTCCCCAAATAATCAATCCTCTCCAAATGGCTCTTTCCCTAATGGTCCTCCACCAAATGGTCAACCACCCCCACAAAATGGTCAACCACCTCAAAATGGTTCTCCACCAAATGGCCCACCCCCAAATGGTCCTCTACCAAATGGTCTTCCACCAAATGGTCAACCACCTCAAAATGGCCAACCCCCAAATGGTCCACCTCCAAACGGCCAGACCCAAGCAACTCCACCAAAAGGACAGTGAATATATACACGGCTCATTTTCCACGTGATATTTTTTGCTAGTTAAAATTCAAATTAACCATAAAAACGATTTGTGAAACTGTTGAAACTCTGATTTGGGTTCTTATTCAAAATTATATAATTCATAATTCAATAATTCATCAATGCATCGCCATTGTCGGTAAATTTAAAATCATTTTAGTAAACTTTTATTCGCTGCTCTTTGATATATGGGTGAATGTTTTCCATTTCATTTTCTTGCATACTAGTGTAACCGATATTTACAATTTTTTATTTTTTAAACCGCTAAACTATCATTTAGCTAATTATTTGTTTTAGTTTTTTTTATCCTAACGAGTTAATTACGATCGATTTTCTGTAAATCGTGAATAAAGTTGCGTCAAAAAGTTGTTGTAGTTTTTCAATATATTACGATGAACTCCAAAAGTCTTGTGATCTGAAAGTAGATCAGTGACAAACATACACACAGTTAGTACAATTTTAGCAGCATTTCATACTAAAATACATTAGTAAAAATACTATACAATCCTAAAATACTATTGGTACTACAGATACTGCAACAGTTGCTATAAAAATGTAATTGGCATAAACGTTTAAATACCTTAGCATATCTTTTTGCTTTTTTCACAAATTAATAATTTCATTTGCCGTTAAAATAATAGGAGAATAAAAAACTTTTGTGAAATAAAACAATCACATTTGCATTTTGATAATTTTATTCATGTTCATATTATACATCAAGGGTGGGCAACTACTATACAAATATACATAATAGACGAGTTAGCTTAGAGGGTAAGACTGCCACGACTAGTGTCGTTGTAAAAGCGCGATAACCGGGTTCGAATACTGTCTATTCGAAGCTAAGAGACTATCATACGTTTTGTTTGGTGTGAATGAGGGTACGGAGATTCAGTTAAGACGAAGTAAGAAAAGAATATTATTTAGGAACGTGTAACAGAAGATTTACACTATTGATGTAGAGCCTAGCAGAATGTACAGTGAATTTTAAAATGTACGTATTTTTTTACAATGTAATTAGTACTTCGTGTGTAACGTTTTTACATTGGTACGTAAACGCTCGAACGTTTACTGTAAATTTGTTACTCTGCTACTTAAAATGTAATACTACTTAATGTAATGCTGCTATGCAGAGTCACTCTGATAATGTATAATTCAATTGAATTGCTGCTATTAACAACACTACAAAGTATAGTTCATTTATATAACATATATATATATATATATATATATATATATATATATATATATATACATACACAATCTTAAGCTTCTTTGTATCGTTATTAGCCTCCATTCAAATTTTAAACAATAGTACAAGCTACAAGTAAACGAATTCCACTGCTGTGGCTACTACTACTACTACTACTACTACTGCGACTGCTGCTACTGCTACTGCTACTACTGTTACTACTACTACTACCTCAACAGCTACTACAACTACTGCGTCTGCTGTTACTTGTTCTAGATTACTACTAACTACTACTAATAGCAATAATATTACTACTGCTACTGCACTAGTACTTCTGCTGCTGCTGCGGCTGCTACCATTGCTACAACTAATAATAATAGTTTTAATGGTATAATAATAATTTTATTGTTGCTTGTTGTAGATGATGTTGTTGTTGTTGTTGTTGTTGATGATGATGATGTTGTTGTTGTTGTTGATGTTGTTGTTGTTGTTATTTAGGCAATTGCAATTGCGATTTATTTTTAGATGGAGTCACGCACGACTTGTTTTGAATCATAATCATGCGTTCATAACATAGGTGGCACGTGATCAATTTACTTCTTCCGATTTTTTAAAAATTAATTTCTTTATTTTAGACATTTAAAAAGCCCTTCATACTACATTTTTTTTAAAATCTTTAATCTTTACGTTTCGTACAAATGTAATTCTTTCATAATCTGCTACCCTTTACAACAGGGGTGGGCAAACATTCTGCTGTGAGGGCCGCATTGAGAACTATTTTACCTTTGAAAGGCCGCAATAAATAGCAAATTTTATTTTTTTTACCCGAGGGAGAAATTTTTTAAGATTTTACCCACCCCTGTTTTACAATAATCATGTTACGATTTGAAAACGAAAATGTAGTTATTTATGCCTAACAACATTTCATTTTATTGAAACTGTTAAATTATATACACTGAAATATGTATTTGATTAATAGCAATCAATTGATTTAGTTTTAAAAGCTGCATTATTTTCTGATCAATAAGATTCAAATACATAGGCTAGAGTAAGAAACTAATAACAAAAATAATAACATTTCTTCTCCCTCTATTATACAGCTTTGCCATATTCAGAATTGCATAAATATTATTCTATAATTATTGAAGTTAATCTTTCAAGTGCCTCAAAGGCTGTTCTATCCATAAAAGCCTAGACAGTCTGGGTTGCGAACCGACAGCATTCGAGTCAGGTCATCATTGGTCAAAACCAACTCTAGACATGGCTCGTCTACCGCCTGAGCTAACTCACAGAACTGAACATAACAATTGAATTAAAACAAACTCGTTTCACTTTCAAATATAGCAAAAATATCATGATACCGTCTGAAGGTCTGTCAGCATTAATCATCGCCAAATTATTGTTAGTCAATCTTACAATGGATGTATAATGTTGGTACATTAATTTTTGTAATTAAATACAAGTGTCCATTAAGTAATAAGATGAATGTCTCACCACACATACACACCCCACCACACAAACACACAGCCACACATGTGGACACACGCACACACACGCACATAGATGAATATAGAGACACGCTCCCATTAAAACATTGATTTATTGTATTCAACAAATGACTCGATTATTTTTTAATTGTAGTGAAAAATGTTTTAAATTTAAAATAAAATTAATTCGTTATATATGGCTAGCCATTTAAATTAATGGGTTTTCATAAAAAGAATAAATAAATGAATAAATGAAAAAAGCTTCAATGTTCAAATCAACACTCACGCACGCACACGCACACACGCACGCACACAGACAACATTTACAGATATACAAAAATACATCGTCTATATTTGCCAAACATCAGCAACATATTGAACGTTAAAATTGTCAACATGTTCATCATCTACCCGCGCAATCAACTTACGATTTATCACATGATGATAGCAATTTTGAAAAAAGTAGCGACAATGGGCTCTGCGTCATCCAGACAGACAATGGATCGAACGTTCGAGTGCTTAATCAACGAACCACCAATACACGATTTTATTATTCTACAAGAAATTTTCTCATTAAAACGTAGCAGAAAGAGAGAGAGAGAGGGGGGGGAGAGAAAGAGAGAAAAGAGAGAGAGAGAATATTTGTCGTTCTTTTGTTAGAACCAGTACTGTCCCACCGAGCTTATGTTTCTAGTTGTTCATAATGTTACACCTATCATTGAGTTGCCTAAGAAAGAGGATTCCATGACTCAACCGTAAAATATTTGTTAGTGTGTTTGAGTTGCTTTCCTCAAATGTATATATATCCGATGCGAGTGATTGCAAAGTAGTAGTAAAAAGAAGCTTAACTAAAGTTATCAAATCGACGAGTTATATTTTATTCATCTAAAATATTACGAATTTAATCTAATACGACTAAATATAAAGTAGTTACATATTTTTTTAATGTTTGAAATTAGCTTGTAATATATTTCCATATTTGGTGAATATTGTTATTTCAAATGTAATATTTATTATTTTTGAAAGAATTCTCTTTAAAACTAAAATATTTTTTTATTTCCAGCAGATCTTGACAACAAAATGAAATCATTTCGATTCGTTTTTGCTGGGACGTTTGTCCTATTCTTCCTCTCCTTAACATTCTCAGCCCCTTCGGTAATTAAATTTATTTTCATTTGTGAAGAAATAATTTATATTAATTATAAACATATGTTTTTAAATAAAAATATTCTCAGTTAAAAAAGAAAACAATTCCATTATACATCTTGTCGCACTGCAATAGTTCTATAAAAAAAGGACTTATTACACTGTGTAATATTTTTATGTTTTATTTTTTTATTTTATAAAGGATTCAGGACGCTTCAACAAAAATGATCCCGAGAATAAAAAAGGTCCTATAGGAGGAGTAAAACCAGGCCCACCCCCTCCCCAACCACCCCCTCCACCGCCACCTCGCAAAAAAGATGACCACACTGGAGAGCCGATGGTTAAAAAGGATCAAACTCGTCCACCTCCTCCTCCTCCTGCAGAACCGATGGTTAAAAAAGACCAAACTCGTCCACCCCAACCTGGTCATCCTCCACCAGGACCTCATGGACACCCGGAAAATGATTTTACGCCCGATCCCAGTTTAGCGCATGTGAAAAATTCTCACAATGAAGATGCTACTCGTGACCCGAACTTTACACACGATCCACAAAGAGAACGCCATGGTAAGGGTATCACTCGAGATCCAAACTTTACCCACGATCCAAACTTCCAACCAATGGGTGGCAAACATTTTAAGCTCGTTCCAAACTTCCACCAAATGCACAGTAAGGATTTTACCCGTGACCCAAACTTTACCCACGATCCCAACTTTCAACAGAAGGGCGGTCTCCATGAAAAAGATTTCACCCGTGACCCAAACTTTACCCACGATCCCAACTTCCAACCAATGGGTGGCAAACATTTTAAGCTCGTTCCAAACTTCCGCCGAATGCACAGTAAAGATTTTACCCGTGACCCAAACTTTACCCACGATCCCAACTTTCAGCATAAAGGCGGTTCCCATGAAAAAGATTTCACCCGTGACCCAAACTTTACCCACGATCCTAACTTTTTGCAAAAAGACGGTCATCATGGTAAAGATTTTACCCGAGATCAAAGTTTTACTCATGCCGATGACCACAAGCCACCCAAAGGTAAAAAAGATGGTCCGCGGGGAAAGAGACACGATCATGGAAGGGGAGAAGATCATGTCACACGTGATCCAAGTTTCACACACGATCCCAAAGGCGATACTTCCCACGATAAAGATGTTACTCACGATCCCAATTTTCCTCATGCTGAACCGAAATTTGAAGGTCCCAAACCGAACGTTGAAGGAAAAGGCCCAATGAGTCGCAAACATTAAATATTTGATTTTGATCATCGGACATTTGAAACATTTGAAAAATTAACGACGGAATGAATTATTTTGTTCCTAATAAAAACTTGCAAGCATCATTGAATGTTTTGTTTTTCATTTACGTACAATGTCAATCTCAAATTATTGAATACATTCCAAAGTAAAAGTCAATTCTTAACTTTGGCTGTGTTACACTGTACCATGTCGGAAACAATTTTGTTTGTTTAAAATAACGATTCATAAAAGCTTAATGCAAAAAAAAAATGACAAACAAGACATATAAACATACAAACTATGAAAACAAGTTACAAAACATTCGAGTTTCAACGAAATAATTCGTAATATCTCTGTCAGCAATATTTCAATTTCTACGTTTCTTCAAGTGTACGTTTAAGATGCCTAATGCTTGCGCGTATATAAACTAGTGCACGTAATTGTACATTCTTGTGGGGTAGATAACTATTAAAATATATGCAAACTTTAATGTAATGTTTTAATGAAAATAATGAAAAAATAAAAATAAGCATGGTGCCGTGCGGTGACATGTTTGTCAAGGATTGGTGATAAAATGTTCTTCCATAAGCTATTTTAGGAATCAATTATAATATGTACCTAGTTTTGTAATGTCATATATGGTAGGAATGTTCCAAAATATTAAAAAATTGCTTCTGAATTGTGTTTTTTCAACGTATTTTAAAATCTCAAACAAATGTCAAATGAATTAAGAATTTTTGATATTTGACACGACATTACAAAATTTTGTAATTGCTCTATCGTATTCTTCCCATCATAAGATTGTATGATTCAAAAGATTGTATGATTCCAGGTAAACGCAAGGTTTGAATAGTATAGTTCAATTCTTAAATACGTTGTGTATCAAACAAATATAAAACTTCTCTTCTCTGATTATTCTACAAAACATACCATACATACTAAAAAAAACAAGTGAGTTTGTACATTTAACTTTTAGTATTCGAAAGCGTAATTTGTTGTATAAACACATCCAAAACTAGATTAATTGTGTTAATAAGTAATGGAAATAAATAGTTAAACTATATAACAATTAAAATTATTAAAATAGAATCTTTTCAACGTGAAAGTTTTAAAAGAAGGTCAAAAGCGTTGTACTCATGCCTAAGTCGATGTGTCTTCACCAGGTAAGATGAAATTATTTATACCTTGTCAATATATACACTCTTTAAACACCTGTATTACGTTGTTATTATTTTAGTTAGTCTTACTTTTAGTTGCAGTTCCATAAACATTTTCATAGAATTAACGTGAAATAAAATAAAATAAATTGAGCCAACATTTAAATAAATTAAAACAAACCTAAATTAATAGGAAATAGATTAAAATGACGGCAAATAATCAAGAAATAATGACTCTCGGTGAGTTATTCAAGACAGCAGCCATTCCCGACTTTCTTCTGAAAAGTTCCGATGAAAAAGATCACGAAGGGATCGCCATGTCGACGTTTCAGGAAAATCTTCGCCTACACCAAGCCTCGTCCAGCACGCAACAGGGCACACAAAGAGCTCCCGGGTTCGACTACGTGCGTTGGAAGGCCCACGGAACACACCGTATGCACCACAACCCTGATGAATACGTCCAGATGTGTCAAGGTCTTGCTCCATACATCAGTTCAGTTGCTGCCAGTTCGTTTGAGGGTCTCGAAGAAAGGAGATGGGCTGGATTGACTCAGGCACCCCCACCCATACAAGGGCTTCCTCCTAAATCGGGATATTCATCTGTAGGTGGAGGAGGTTCAAGAGGTGGCTATTTGGAAAGTCAAAGTCGAGATGCGCAATGATGAAATATCTATTCGAATGTCGTGATTTTGAACTTTTTCATTTTTTGAATTACAATTTTAAAATGTTTAATGTATTATCTGTCATTGGACACAAATTTTTGTAAGACACTTTTCAAGTGCACTTTTAGGATTTAAACAAACATTAAAATTAAGTTAGATTAAATTCTTAATCATATACAAAACAACACCTTGAAACATTCATTTTGCATGGAAGTGGTATGAATGCAAAAACATTTCCATCATTTTTTATCATTTCTATCATTGTTAAACATGGAAATTCAGTTTTATATTTCAACAAAATGATATAGTGAATCAGATAAACTTAATAAAACAATATATGATAATTGAATGATGGCATTTTTTGCGTAACAAAGGAAGTCTAACGAGAATAAAATTAATCTGATTGTTGAAAACATCTGTGAAATAGTTTAAGTTTCTGAATAAAGTATCACACATATGCAGATGAATGAAAAAATTAACGTGACTGTCAATTATAGTGTCATCAAGACATTCATCATATGTTGTCTGATTGATCAAAATATAGAAGGATCATAGCTTAAATGTGCTGAAAATATATAATGCATCTATTGATTTATATATGCGTGTGTAGTTCATATGTAGGAAAGCAACGATGCTAGCTCCAGCAATTCATATATTCACTATTGTATGTATACATTAAAAATGGTTTCTATACAATACAATATATATATATATATATGAATATATGCATACATATATACATACATACCTACATAGACTATACAATAATGTAATTGCATACGATGTTTTTGTTATATAACATTATATCTGTAAAATAAATGTATTAAATCATTATAAGTGACGTTTTTAACAGATTTGTGTGTTTTTCGCATATAATTTGTTTAAATATTATTAAAATCTGTAATTTTATTCACGGAAAATAGCTAAAAATTATTAATTTTGATGTCATTTTGGTGTCAATTGATGGTAAAATTGCATAACTTTTTTGTCTTGGGTTTTTTTTATTGTAAATTTGTATATTTATTTTTTGTGAGCGGTAAATAGCGTTTATTCTGAAATCAATGAATTGGGTTGAATTAACATTTCTTATAATTTCACGGATGTTAAAATCATTTTTTAATATTTAAAAATTGAAATTATTTGATAAAATGAATAAGTTGAAAGTGATAAATGGACATAAAATTAATAAACAGTTGGTTTGGTTACTTGATCAATTTTTTTACCTAATTGTTTCATTTTTGTATTTTATTTTTCTAACTCAAATTAATTAATTAAAAAAAACTACAAAACTGCTAAGCTAACTTAAAGTGAAAGATTTTCCAATCATATATTTACAGATTGTTCACTAAAGATCATCATCAATCAATCAATTAGTTTCTTTATAAAAGTACTATTTCACTTTTATGTTCAACAGCATTCTTCAATGAATTTTGCAAAATCTTGGGATCCGCTCTGAACTTTTTAATGGATGGAGAAGTAGTCAGGGAAGGAGGTGGAAAGTCCCAGAGGAAAGGGCCCGAAAAAGCAAATGCAGATTTAGCAAAAGAGTGTTTTGCATGATTTAAGAAGTGAGAACAAGAAGACGGTCACAAACGGGACTTTTAGGTTCAATTAATATATCTGATAAGTACTTAGGAAATAATTTAGATTGAGACATACATAAATGTGCAAATTTAAAAAATTATTCTATATTTTATAGGTAGCCAGTGCAAGAGAACAAGATATGGAGATATATGAGAGAAGAGAAGGGCACAAGCAACTAGACGAGCAGCAGGGTTAAAAGCTTTACTTAAAGGGTAGAGTGTAGAATCAGGATTACAATAATCAATCGTAGATAAAACTAAATACACAACACGACAACAACGACAATGACAACATACGTTGGTATGTATATGTTGTAATACATCACCTAAACTAACACATTTTATGAAGATTTTTTTATAGTCATTTATACAATAAAATTATATGATTCATAGTACCTTTTAGGTAAAATATCATACAGAAAAGTGTATATACTAACATACGTAGTATGATTGAAAAGTAAATAAATCAATCAGTTTTGTTAAAAAGACATTGACAGAAATAGTAATAGTAATAATAATAATAATAATAATATTGATAATATTTTTAAAAGTGCTATTTGTAATCACTAATTGCTAACAGCCTGATATTAATTTTAAAAGTCTTTTCTGTAGCTACCTGTAAATGTGATGGGTATGGTTATGTGTGTCCGATACATGTATGTAAGTTTTTGCATGTCTATTTCTGTATAACAGCATACCGTGTTTGTGTGTCTGTTTGTGTGTATGTATCTACCTGTGTATATGTGTGTGTGTATCTGTGTGCGTCTGTCTGTCTGTCTGCATGCGTGTGTGCGTGTTTTTATAAGTGTCTGTCCCTTTAAAATTGAACTAGGATAACATTATCAGTGCTGTTATGCAGACTTGCTTCTGAAATATTTCTATTCAGAGGTAGTCAAGCTAGTTCTTATATAGTTGAGTCATATTCTATTATTAAATTCATACATATATGCATATATATATATATATATATATATATATATATGTTGGTAATGTTGTGAAAATATATATATATATATATATATATATATATATATAACAACACCACACACACACATACAATAAATTTTTGCATACATACACACACACACTTACACGCATATATATATTTATATATATATATATATATATATATATATATATATATATATTGATAATATAAATACATATTGATAATTTGTTCATACATATACTACATAAATAAATACAAACACACACACACACACACACACACACACACACACACACACACACACATAAATGCATATTGTATGATAATGAGCTGATGTCTCTTATATTAAAAACAGTTAAAACTTCACTGAATGGTTATATTTGCTTTGAGTGATCTCTTCTGATTTAGGCAGTTTGTGATTAAGGTATTTCTTTCATTCATTGGCTTGTTCTCTCATTCATTCATTGGTTTGTTGGTTCATTCATTTGTTTGTTCGTTCATTCATTCATTCGTTCATTCATTCATTCATTCATGAATATATTTAGATATATAAAATTTTAATATCATAAATATATAACATAAATAAACAATTAGTTTTTATATTCCCAAGAGGAAAAATGGATGAGTCAAAAGAAGATAGCGTTGCAAAGGTTAATAATAATAATATTAATAATTCGTATTAATATTTTAATTATTATTGCTATTATTATTTTTATTATTTATTAATTTTTTTTTATAATTCAACGATTGTATTGTTGTAAAGTTGAGGAAAGTATTGAATAATCTGTTGAAAGATGACGATGATGTTGATGATCATGACCTCAATAAGTGGCTAATAGGTTTGTTTGTTTGTTTGTTCGTTCATTTGTTTGTTTGTTCGTTTGTTTGTTTGTTTGTTTGTTCCTGATGATGATCTTGTTGTGACGAAGTAATAGTAGTAGTTGTATATCTCGCTGGGTTTGTTTTTACTCTAAATATATTTTCGCGTTTTATTAGCTCGAAACTATGATGTCTCAAAAGCAGAGGCCATGTTTAGAGAAGTAAGTTTTTTAATTCATTTATTCATCCGTTTATTCATTTGTTTATTCATTCGTTTATCCATTCATTCATTCATTCGTTCGTTCATTCGTTCATTCATTCATTCGTTCGTTCATTCATTAACTGTTAGATTATTTTGTTTACATAAAATTACAATGTTGCATCTATTGATTGGCTCCATTTCGTTTCGTTAATTATTATTATTGCTATTATTGTCATTTATTATTATCATTTATTATTATCATTTAATACTATTATTGTTATTATTGTTGTTGTCACTAGAGTATGAAGTTTAGGAAGGCAAAATACGTCGACACCTTATTTGATACCTACCAAATAGCAGAGGTATTTCTGGGCTGTTTCTGCTCTTGTTTATAATAGTAACCTTAATAATAATAATAATAATAATAATAATAATAATAATAATAATAATAATAATGAGGATAATGATGATAGTAATAATATCTAATAAAACAGAATTGCTAATAGTACTACTTCTATTACTACTATTACTACTACTATTATTACCCCTACTACTACTACTAACTACTACTACTACTACTACTACTACTACTACTACTACTACTACTACTACTAATTATAATAATAATAATAAAAATAATAATGATAATAATAGTACCTCTCTTTTTTCCAAGGTTCTCCAAAAATATTTCCCCGGCGGTTTCGTCGGCTTCGATAAAACCGGAAGTCCAGTTGTAGTCGAGCTGTTCGGCCAGTACGACATGGAGGGCATCATGAGGTCGTGTCGTAGGTCAGATCTCGAAAAGGTCAAACTCTTTCAGTGCGAGTTCACTGTTAGGTTGTGGAGAGATCAGACCAAAAAAGTGAGGGCATTGTTTGGCTCTTTTTTAACTTTTTTTTTAAAAAGATTCTGTACAACGCTGTTATAATGATGAATGTTTCTTTCGTTGTCAGCATCGTTATTCAAATTGAATTCTCTTGCAAATTTGTTTTGAACTTTTAAAGTTCGTGCTTACGTGTACAAATACGCATACAAACGCATGCACGCACATCCACACGCACACGCACACATCCATACATACACACATGTACACACTTATATACATACACATACATACAAACAAACATACACACAAACAAACAGTTGGGAAAAAGAGTTGACAACTTAACCGTCATATTTGATATGGAAGGTGTCGGCACTAAATTTCTTTGGAAACCTGGTTATTATTATTATTATTATATTATTATTATATTATTATTATTATTATATTATTATTATTTAATTATTATCATAATTTAAACGATAGGTCTGGACATGTACATAAGTCTTATAAAGTTGTTAGAGGATAATTATCCAGAGATGCTTAAGAGGCTGTGCGTTGTTAATGGTTGGTTGGCTGACTGTTTGGCTGGTTGGTTGGTTGGTTGGCTGGTTGATTGATTGATTGATTGATTGATTGATTGATTGATTGATTGATTGATTGATTGATTGATTGATTGATTGATTGATTGATTGATTGATTGATTGATTGATTGATTGAATATAGCTCCAGCAATATTTCCATACTTATGGAATCTGGTCACCCCACTGGTCAGCCCTGAGATGAGGCAGAAAATTGTGGTACTAAAAAAAGGTTTGTTTGTTTGTTTGTTTGTGTGTTTGTGTGTGGCCGTGTTATTTTGTTTGCTTGTATGGGTGTATGTGCGTGTATGGATGTGTTTTTGTGTGTCAGTCATTAATTTTTCATTTGTTTTTGTTTCTTTGTTGATTTTTGTTTAAATTTAACTTTCCTGCTGACCAGATGAAATGACCGAACAGTTGACTGGTTATCTCGGAGAAGAGTGCCTACCTGCCTATTTAGGCGGGAAACTAACAGACCCTGACGGAAATCCCAGATGTATCACGATGGTTCGTTGCTGTTGTAGTAGTAGTAGTTGTAGTAGTAGTAGTAGTAGTTGTAGTAGTAGTAGTAGTAGTAATATGTACTATACTAACTTTAATTAAAAAAAATTTACAAACTAAACTATTTAAAAGATAGGCCATCAAAATCTCAAACGGAAGTTTAATTTGACACCTTCCCCACCCACGCGCAGATAAATCAGGGGGGTCCAGTGCCTAATTCTTACTATTTGAGAGTCGCCGAAGACCCATCGTTGACGAGCGTCGTTGTCAACAGAAGGGATGAACATGTCGTGTGCGTTGATGTAACTGAAAGTAACACTATGATCTGGTTGGTTGGCTCGTTTGCCATTTGCTATTATGATATTTTTATTGCTATTATTTATTTATTTATTATTATTATTTATTATTATTATTACTAATTGTTATTCCTATTTTTTCATTAAACTGCAGTTGGGAGTTCAGGACGGATGAGCATGACATTGGTTTCGAAGTCAAGTACCTCGGGTTTGAAGCTCTGAATAACGATGATAATAATAATAATAATAATAATAATAATAACAATAATTATAATAATAATAATATGCTTGAAAATGAAATTAATAATAGTAGCGAAAAGATCATTGAAAAGGTTGATCGGACCAGTAGCAGTAATGTTATAAATAGTTGTAGTGGTAGTGGTAGTAATAGCAGTGATGGCTCTCTTGGTGGTGTGGTTGTCGTCGGCAGGCAACGGTACCACTGCGATTTTTTAGCTGAAGATGGCCGCTATCTATGTGACGATGATTCAAAAATCGGAAAATGTTGGTTTGGTTGGATGTTTGTTTGTTTGTATGTTTGTTGGTTTGTTCGGAAAATGTATGTTGGTTTGGTTTGTCTGGTTGGGTGTTTGTTCGTTTCTTTGTTCGTTCGCTTGTTTTCGGTGACTATTTTTGTCTTTTGGAAAGTTTTATAACAGGAGACAATGACATTATTTTCTACCTTTGTTAAGTAATTGCTATTATTAATAATAATAATATTGCGATAAAAATAATAGTAATAAATAATAATAATAATAATAATAATAAATAATAATAAATAAATAATAATAATAATTTTCCTCAGATAAAATAACCTTTGACAATTCGTACAGCTGGACGAAGTCAAAGATTTTGCATTATAAAGTGTGGACGGAGGCTTATACAATTAATAATAGTACCAATGAAAATGGTGATTGTGTATCTCGAAATATATCATTTGATAGGATTCGCGATGCTTCATCCGGTATCACAAATGATACATTCGATAAAGTATCATCCAATATATCATCCAGTATCTCAAATAAGACAGATAATGATGATAGTCTTGAGTGTGTCAGGCAGTCACTAATTAAAACTATCGCTAGGTTTAATAATGTGTTTAATACCAAGAATTATTATCAGTGATTATTATACATTATTCCTTTTGTGATATGATTTTGTAATGTATATGCGTTTTTAATTGATTGATTAGTTGATTGATTGGTTGATTGATTGATTGATTGATTGATTGATTGATTGATTGATTGGTTGGTTGATTGATTGATTGATTGATTGGTTGATTGATTGATTGGTTGATTGTTTTTTATTATCTACTGTTTTTAAATCTACCCAGTACTACCAAACATTCCATATTTGAAAAATACTGTAAATTCTAGTGATCCAACTATGTCCGATTATTAGGAGACGAGACGGTATCGAATCGAAATTTGTCTCGAATGAAACGATACTAAGAGACCTCTGAGTAACGAGAATTTGTTATTGCTTTGTAACATTTTATTTGTCCTGGTTATGACATTAAACTGACTCTCACTTACACATTAATATATAATATGTATATGCATATATGTGTACATACATACGTATATACATACATACGTATATACATACATACATGTGTCTTTTTGTGTGTGTGTGTTTTTGTGTGTATCTCTATAATTCCAAAAGTCTGTTATCAAATTCGAATTGTTAATAATCAAAAAATTTATTGATTTAATGATTGAATCCATTTTTGTGATGAAATAAACTTTGACAACGAAAAATTAAATATTGTCATTATCTTAATTTATTATTATTAACATTGGTATTATTGATAGATAGATAATTAAATAGGATAGATAGATAGATAGATAGATAGATAGATAGATAGATAGATAGATAGATAGATAGATCGATAGATAGAAAGATTCAGACAGATCTAGAGAAATACAAGACGAATAAATAGATGGATAGACAGATAGATAGATAATGAAAGATGGATAAATAGATAATGAGAAATGGATAGATAGACGGATGAATAGATAGATAGAAAGATAGATGAATGAGTGGATGAATGATGAATGGACGGATAGTAGCGTACATACATCATCATCAATCTATCTCAATTTTTATTGTCTGCATTAATGCTAAAGCCGATCGTATGCCTGGCGATAGCATGTGTTTTTTGGCAGAAAAATTTGCTTTTGTTGTTGTTATTATTGTCATTATTATTGTTGTTATTATTTGTGTTGTTGTTTCAACAACGACCATATTTGTGATTCAAATTTATGACGTGTCATTTCGGTAGAATAAGCAATTTGTATAACTAAGTGTATAACTAATTGTAACAGACAGACAAACAAGCAAAGGCATACAGACAGGTACACACACACACACACATGCGTACATACACAAACGGACACACACACACACACATACAAACAAGCAAAGACATTAAGAGGGATATCAAACATTAAGTCTTCATAATACAAACTTGTCTTCAATGATGAGGCGAGATTACTTCACTGAATGCTAATGCACAGCAATTGAACAACCGAATGGACGGAAAGGAATAAAAGAGGGTAAAATAAAATAGAGAGAGAAAGAGTGTGAGAAAAATAGAGAGGGAGAGAAAGAGAGAGAGAGAGAAAGAGAAGATGGAGAAACAGTACAAATACGATAAAGTGTTAATAGTATGAAGAAATGAGACAGTCTTAAAAAAGTGACTAAGAAAAAGAGAGAGAGAGAGAGAGTGATAGAAAGAAAAGAGAAAATGATAGAAAAAGAGAGAAGAAGGAAATGCATTATAAATTTCAACATATGGATGACCAGAGTAGGAAAGAATGCAATCACGTGCGTGGAGTGACATCAGCTGGAACAATCAGGTCGATGTTAAATAACATCAACGTTACACTACTTATGACATCAATGGCAACATTATTGCTAGCAACATCCTTATAACATCAATAGTGACATCATTAATGCTATCGTTAATTTTGACTCTATAAACTTCTTAAAATTAAATTAACAATAAGAATGTAAATTTTAGTACCGACCACAAAATCGAAGAAGAAAAATTGACAACAACACCGAAAACATCAGCAACAAATTACATCAACAACATCGAAAGCGGAAATACATCAACAGCATCAACGAATGACGTCATCAGCATGAACGATGACGTCAACAACAACAACAACGTCGACACCTTCATTATTTCGATCAAAATTTTGAAAGCCTCAAAAGGAAGCGAAAACGATTGAGAGAAAAAAAACATTTTTCTCACATTTCTGTATTTCTGTCAAAACTTCAAAATGAACAACGAAAACATCAATAACATCAACAACAACAAAAGTTACGTCATCAACAACAATTACAACAACAACAACAACATTTTAAGTTACAATCGTTTCTTAAGCAACAACCTCATCATCTACAACAACATCATTCAAAATAACCATATCGACTTCAACTTTAACAACATCAACAACAACATTGAAAACATCAACAACAACAACATTAACATTATTAACACTAATAACAATAATAGCAATAATAACATCAGCAACAACATCAACAACAACAACAACGGCACCAAAAATCTTTCATTTGTTTTGCCCGAATCTGATTATCTCTATTATACAGAACATTTGGATCTAGTTAGTTTTGTAGTTGTTGTTATTGTTGTTGTTGTTGGTGGTGGTGATAATGACGTCATTTTTTGTTGCTTTAGATGTTGCTGTTTTTGTGTATCAATAGCAAATGTGATGTTACGAATGTTCATTCTTTAAGAACTCTTACTCTTGTGTATTTGTGTTTCATCATTAAATTTTGTTGCATAAAACATTTCATATAAATATTTTTAAGAAATAAAACGTATAATAACAAAATTAATGAAAAAAAAAATAAAATCATCAATTTATCCATAAATCATTGATGAATTTAAGCGATTAACAAACACACAACATACATATCATACACTTGGATAGATAAATTATCTTGACCGTTTGTGCAATCGAACCAGGAAAACTCCACACGAAAGTGTTTTACTCGGCGCTTCTACTACCTGGGCCGCTCTTTAATCATACACATTTTTAGACATTTGAAAAATGTGATTAGGTGAAATTTTAAAAACCGGTGGGGTCATTAAGGGCCAAAAAATTCAATTTAATGGAATGAATTGTTAGGATGAATTGAAATAAACTTTCAAATTTTCAATTCATGGGCTTTTTGTGAGAATGAGCTGGAGGAAGTTTTTCAAACTGTTGAAAATTCTTCCAAACCGCTTTTAAATTTTACTATTAAAAGCAATTAAGAAGCAATTTATTTTTTAATTTTTCTTTTTAAATTTTTCTCCTCGTCCATGCGTGTGTGTGCGTGTGTGTGTGTGCGTGTGTGTGTGTGCAAAAATTTATATAAATATACACGCACGCATACACACACACATTACGTGCCCATCACATACACATATACATATATGCACGCACACACACATACACTACTCACACATATGAAGGCACATAAACACACATATGTTTACATACATTTATATTTACACACACACACACACACACATACACACACATACAGATACACACAAACATACTAGCCTACAGCGTTCATATTTATTTTATTAACTCAAAATAAATCTAATTAATTTCACGAAAAAATAAAATTCTACACGAGGTGGCGTACCCATGGAATGAAGATGACTTGTTCCTAAGGACAACCCTGATCTACGTCATCATCTTTGTCGTCGGTGTCGTCGGGAATGTGGCCGTCATCTCCAATTTGTGTCTGGTCCGTGCTGGAAGGAGAAGGGATTCCCTCTTCAATAAGTCTACAGGGTCTTTTGTGGTCCGTTCTTCATGTGTCTTTGTTGTCGTCGTTGTTGTTGTTGTTGTCTTTGTTATCGTCGTTATTGTTGTTGTCGATGGTGTTGTTGTTGTCGTGTTGTCGATGGTGTTGTTGTTGATGGTGTTGGTGTTGATGTTGTTGTTGCTGTTGTTGTTTTTGATGTGTGTTTGTTGATGGTAGTGATGGTGGTGTGATGATGATGATGACGATACGATGATGATGATGATTTATTGTTGAAGTTCATTTTAACTTATAAAATATTACTGTTACGGCGGCTCCCATTGCTCTCAACGTTATTGCCATTTAAACGTAGGTGAGTTTGGTGTCGGCTGATCTAATTTTCTTATTGGTCTGCGTCCCTTACGAAGTAGGTCATAGGTTAAGCCACAGCTGGGTCGGGTCAAGGTTCATGTGTAAGCTGTACTACTTTGTCGAGATGCTGGCCTCGTCCGGGAGTGTTATCAATCTGGCCGTCATATCAATCGAGAGGTTTGTGATGGATGGATGGATGGTTGGGTGGATGGATGGGTGGATAAATGATTGAGTGGATGAGTGTCTGAATGAATGAATGAACGAACGAACGTACGAACAAACGAACGAATGAATGAATGAATAAACGAATAAATGAATGAATGTTCATTTGAAAATTAAATTGATGAATGGATGAGTGTATGGACGGAAAAGTCTGAAAGATTTTCATATTGCTGATTCTTCCATCATCATTCCCACATTTGTCATCATCGTCGTCATCATCGTCGTCATATTTGACTTCATCATCTTCATCGTCGCCATATTTGACCTCATCATCTTCATCAACGTCCTCTTTTTCAACGTCAGCATCTGCAATTTGATAGTAATAATAATAGCCACGAAAGTATAATCCTTCCTTCGTGTGTGTGTGCGTGTGATGTGTGCGTGTGTAATGCGTGCGTGTGTGAAACGAATACGACATGATTAGAAACATGACCTCTGTGTTATGTCATCTCATGCGGTTATGTTTATGCTGCTGCTGCTGTTGTTGATGTTGTTTATGTTTTGCTTATGTTATTGTTGTTTATATTTTGTGTATGTTGTTGTTGTTGTTTATGCCCTGGTTTATGCCGTCAGCGAGAATGATTTTATTGAAACTGTTAAAAGCTATTCGATGTTAATTTTGGCAGCGCTAATGCAGTTGTTGTTGTTGTTGAGGTTTTTATTGTTGTTGTTGTTGAGGTTGTTATTGTTGTTTTTGTGGTTGTTGTTGTTGTTGTTGTTGGTTAGGACGATGGTGTATATGGTGGTTAACATATTGAAGCGTTGAAGTGACGGTACTTGATTGTGCGTGTTTGTTGTTGTAACCTCTGAGATACATTATAGAAAAAATTGTATTAAAAAAATGACAAAACAACAACAAACAACAACAACAAAAAATGATTGCTAGTAGATTATTTGACGTCATTATTGTGGTGTGAGGTTGAGTCATTTATGTAGCGCCAGTCAAAATAATTAATGTTTGCTCAGAGCTTGGCGATATGGCGATACATGTATCGGTGTTTACGTGTATGTATGTATGTATGTATGTATGTATGTATGTATGTATGTATGTATGTATGTATGTATGTATGTATGTATGTATGTATGTATGTATGTATGTATGTATGTATGTATGTATGTATGTATGTATGTCGTTCTATATGTTTTTATTATTTGCTGAAAAACTTTTTGTACGAACATAGAACATTTCTGTTTAGGTGGCCATACTAGATGAATTTTATATAAATTCTATTATGGTCATCCTTCTTACTTTTAATTTTCAATTTTGAGAAGCAAATAAAATTTCCTTTCGTTTCGTATGTATGTATGTATGAATAAATGTATGTATGTATATATGTTTGTATGCACAGGTATGTAGTGATCGTACACCCAATGAAGGCAAGAAGCTGGTGTACAACGAGGAATACGCGCAAGATCATCATCATAACCTGGCTTGTATCGGCACTATCATCATCACCACCATTTTCATACACTGTGAATGTTCAATTTAAATACTTTCGATTTGGTTGCTGATTGAGTTTCTTCTTTGTTTGAGATGATTTTTAACTTTTTTAAAGATGCTTTTGTTGATGTTGTCATTTTGTCCAGTTGTTTGTGTTGTTTGTATTTACCGCCAGCCAACCAATTACAAAGCAATCCCCGACCGACCGACCGACCAACCAATCACGAATCGACCGATCACAAGCCCTCCAATTGCAAATAAAAAAAACCTAGCCAATTACAAACCAGCCAACCAACCAACCAACAAACCAACCATCCAACCAATCAACCAACCAACCGACCAACCAACCAACCAACCAACCGACCGACAGAACATAAAAACAAGCGTCTTCTACAACTTCACCACCTTCATAAGCATCCCGATCTGTGCCAACAACAACTTCAATGATACGATTGGATACATATTCTCCTGCTACAAGTTCGGCGTTCTCTTTCTCATACCAGTAGCTGTGCTCTCTTTCTGCTATGTTACCATCGTAAAAGTACTCTGGTCAAGTGCTAGATTTTTAAGCACTATGACACAGGCGAGTGTCGTACAGTTTAGGTGAGTATGATGATTGATGACGATGCTGATGATGATTGTGTTGTTGTTGTTGATGATGGTTATGATAATAGTGTTGATGATGGTTATAATAATAGTGATGATGATTGTGTTGTTGTTGTTGAAGATGGTGATAATGGTAATTAATTAATAATATTTTCTCAAAGATTTAAACCGATCTTCATCCAATCATGTTTCGCATAATAATATTTTAAAAATCATCAGCCAATCACATTTCTCCTTTTTAAAATTTAAAAAAAAACATTCGACCAATTGTATCTGTCCAATTGAAACTTTAAAAAAACTTTCAACCAACCGTAGCAATCAAACAAAAAAAAAACCCAGCATCTTACTTACTTAACCATCGAATCGCATCTCTACATTTCCCTAAGTGCCAAGCGGTCGGACAAACAGACGGCCAATCGTCTGCATCACGTGACCATCGACGTCACGTCATCGTCAACTAATAATAATAACAACAACAATAATAATAATAATAATCAACAACAACAACAACAACAACGTCATCAAGAAACTATCGTAGAATCACGTAAAAAGGTGATTACCGTGGCGAAATTGAAATCTTGATGATGATTGTGAGGAGGATGATGATTGTGATGAGGATTGTGATGATGATAATGATGATTGGGATGATGATTATCATTGTGATGATGATGGTAATGATTATGATTTTGTTGATGAGGATGATGATGATCGTGATGATGATAATGACGATTACGAAACGCGATGGTAATGATGCGATAGCGAGCTCTTGAAATTAATGAGCTAATTTTACTGTGATTAACGCTTACAATTAGCGAATTGACTGATCCACACACGTATGCATATGCACACATGTATCAGAATATAAGAAATTATAAAAGAATAATAATAAAAAGAATAATAAGACGCGCGCACACACACACAAACGCATGTGTACAATCACACACCCACAAACTAGGTGATAAAGATGATGATCACAATCGTGGTGGCATTTTATGTATGCTGGGGTCCGTGTATGGCACTCGACCTACTCAAGGCTTTCCCGCCCTATTTCATGCACACTAATGGAACTTTTGAAGTACAGGTTATGCTTGATATATTTTTGTTCATGTGTGTGTGCGTGCGTGCGTGCGTGTGTGTGTTGTTTAGTTTTATGAAAGATTTTTAAATTTTGAAAAAACCATTGACAACAATTTCCCTTTTAACAAACAAAACTTCTTACACATCGTCCACTTCAAAGGCCTTCATAGAGTATTTGCCGTACGTGCACAGTTGCATCAACCCTTTCATATTTGCCTACATCAGTAGTAGCCACAAAAGCAGCAACGACAGCAGCAGCAGCAACACACTTTTGAAAATACTTCTCTTCATATTTTGTTGTTCTGGCAGTAGCAGATGCGGCCTCAGAAACAGAAAACAACGTAGAAGACCTCACAGCATCAACTGTCGTGACGTCATCAAAAACACAACCACCTGTGAAACTGACGTTAATTAGTTGATGTAACTGACGTCATCGATGAACGATTACGTCACCGATCCACGTCAACTAACTAATTAGCGTAGCCACGTAGCAGTCGAAGACTACCTTAGAACCAAACAATGCGACAACTAATAAGGAGAATGAGGGGGAAAAAAATTGATATCATCTTCTAATAGTTTTGAAAACATCGCCTCTGGAGATGTATTCCTCGTTTATTTATATTTGGCAAGCACGCACTTTGAAAAAAAGACATGTATTTAAGATGCATTAGATAGATGATACATAAACAGATATATAGATAGATAGAAAGATGATAGACAGATAGATAGATAAATAGAAAGATAGATAGATATAGATAGATAGATATAGATAGATATAGATAGATAGAAAGAAATAGATAGACAGACAGATATACGATTAATAGTTCGGTGGATGTTGATGAAAACGAACAGGCAGACGAAGAGATGGAAGAATAGCTAAATATATGGATAGATAGAATAACAAATAGACAGATATTGATGAACAGATGGATACACAGACAGACGAATAGGGATAATGATAAATAAATAACAGATTTGTAAGATGGATGGATGGATACATGGATATATAGATCCCGTAAATATCGGCGAACAACGAAAACATATTTTTTTATAAAGTTTCAGCTGCATCGATAAATTTTAACTTTTTAATTTTTTTCACTTATTCAGATCAACAGCATTGAAACATTTATCAACCGGTATACTTATCAATCAATAAAATATTTTATTGAAACATTTATCAATCGATCAATCAATCGATCGATAAACTATTTCAATGAAACATTTGTCAATCAATAAACTATGTTATGGAATCATTTACCAGTCAATAAATTACTTTCGCCAACCGATGACCACCCAACAATTAAATTCACGAAACTTAAAACGGAAATAATTTTTTTTTTCTTTCTTGTGTCCACGTTATTATTGTTTCGTAACTAGATAGATGTCAGACTTCAAAGTCGAAATCAAAATACGGCGAATCGAACTTGTGGACTCTGACGTAGCCATCCTCACCACCGCTGCTGTACCTGTGTTGTCATTATTATTATTTTATTATTTTATTTTCAATATTTGTATAAAATTGATATAAATTGTAATGCAAATACTGAATTTTAACTTTTCAGTCGATTTAACTCTTACTTAATTTTAGTTCTCCATCCACATACACACACACGCACACACACACACGCACGCACACACATATCCATGTCTAACCCTGTCCCATCGGGGTGAAAAGCCACACTGTTGATTGGTCCAAAATGACCTTTGACCCTACCGAATTCCTCCTCAAAGACCAGGTGGTAAAATCGGGAGTCGAACTTTCCGATTCTGGTTGACGTGGTCGTTACGTCCATGGCTTCCTGACCGCCTCCGAGGACAACCTGTCAGAAGAAAATACTAAATTGCTACTTTAAAAATTATAATTAATAATACATGTGATTGTCTGCGTGGTGTCTGTTTGTGCACATGTGTGTATGTAAGTATTGTGTGTGTGAGTGTGTGTGTTTGCGTGCGCGCGTGTATGTGTTGTTATGGAAAAAATGCACCAAAAAGATACATTAAAATCAAAATAAATTTTAAATCTGATTCTGAATAATGAAAAAAAAGAGAAGGTAATAAAGATGTGATCGAACGTGTGGTTTGAGTGGGGAGATGGCGGCCGAGTTGACGGGCCTGTCTGTCTTGTAGGTTTTCATCACGGACATGGAGGTCGTGTCGTATAACTGAATTTTTAAAATATGAAAAAATATATATAATTAATTAATTAATATTTCAGAATAAATGATGAATAGACAATTTTATAACATATAAATTTAAAAATAAAATCTAATCATTGATAAAAAGAAGACCCAAAAACCGAACTATAACACTATAATAAACAGAAAACCATCAGAAACGCCATAGATAAAAAAATTTAGTCCAAAAGTGAACTTCTCAACCAATCCGACTGATGAAAAGAACCTTAGCAGTAAAGTCTTTAGAGGCAGTGATGAATGCATTCATATCTTTGCTCATCTGAATGTCATTGATTTGTTTACTGTGGTCATTGACCTTAACCATGCACATTTCTCTCTGCAAAAAGCAAGAAATAAATAAATTAATTAATTAATTAATTAGTGAATAAATTATTGAATAAAAGTATATACATTTAAAACAAAATTTCATAAGTAAATCCCTATTTCCGAATCCCTAATCAACTAACAGTGAGATCCCATTGGCACAGTTCACCATTTTCATGTCCGGTGATGATCATCTCGTCGAGTGGGCCCCAGATGGCCGCTGTCACTTTGTGATTGGTCATCTCCTTCATCCAGCGACTGTTGTTATCCTCTAGAAGATCATAAGAATATTGACTAAACATATGCAACACACACACACACAAACACAGAAACACACACACAAACACAGAAAGACACACACACAAACACTAACTAAAAGTCTCTGGGGCCCTCAAATCGAAAACATACAACTCGCATTGTTGACCCATTGTTTTGTCAGTGGTGAACATTATCAAGTTGCCGCTAAATGAAAAACCACATGTCCTGATGGCTGATCTTGTGGCATGGTCTATTATTACTTGCCCTACAATTAAAATAAAATATCATTATTATATTTAATTATAATATTCAATTATAATAATATTAATATATATTTATGTGTTGTATATGCATATATAAGTTATATATATGAGAGCAGTATTATAAAAGCAGTTATATATCCTTAAAATGGATGACTTGAGGTGGAGCAGAATTATTTTAAAATGAACAAATCAATAAATGAATGAAATGATGAATGAATGAGTGAATGGACAAATGAATGAATGAATGATTGACAGGCCTGTTTCACAATCCCAAATCTTGCAAGTGTTATCGGCGGCTCCAGTCATTAACTTACTTGTGTCCCCTGCGATTAGTAAATTAGAAAAATTATTAAATCATGATTAATTATCGTCATAATTAATACAATTATATAACATTGTTAATTATAGTTATAAAAAACACATAAACCAAACTCTGTTTTATATAAAAAGATAAATTATGAATTCAGCATATTACCCAAAAACAATGAAAAAAAATCATTGCCAGCCTAAATAAAACAAAAACCTCTGATCTAAAAATAAGGAACCCAAAGATTAAAATTTTAGGAGGGAACTAACATTTAAAACTAAACATAGATAGCCACAGTTATATGATTATATCAATGATATGATATAATATCATCAGTAGTTGACTTACAGTTGATATCAAGGCACCAGACGGCACCCCCGTGACCCTTGTAGGTACCCAATCTTTCCCCATTGATGGAGTACCAGACGTTTGGGATGGGGTCTTTAGCAGAAGAAAATAATAAGTCTCCTTCCCTGTTGTATTTTATCTGAGTTATCGAACGCTCATGTCCGTGTAGCATCAATGGTTTCTGTTGAAAAATGTGTTATGTATAAAAAAAATAATGTGGATTATTAAAAAACATTTATAAATTCTGACCATCAAAAAGCAATAAACAGGCAACAAACAAAATTGGGATTATTCAATAATCCATGCAATCTGCTGTGTTATCACCATTTTTTTATCACAATGAATAATTCTTGTTAGTTGATTTGTTTATCAAATTTAAAAATTAAAATTAAATTAAATTTAAAAAAAACATCACACAATATGTCACCAGGCAGGCAAGCACGTGAATGTGCAAAAAAAATCTCATCATTTAAATTATTATAAAAACGGCATATTTAAACGTTTAAACAATCATCATTATCATCAAAATTAGCCGAATCACTAACCATAATTATACGATCGTCTTCCGATGAGTAAACCAACTCCAAATTGCAAAAAATTAGCGATATAAAACAAGCTCAAAACTGTTTACCATTTATTGTAAGGTAAGTTACCAGCATAAGATATTACCAGCATTAAGACATCTAGCGAACTTAGTTTGTCCAGTTATAAATTATTCACTGAAATAACTAAATTTAAGTGTTAAAGTCTGTTTTATCATAAAATTTAAAAAATTGAAAACGTAAATTTATTATTTATATAACAATATATCATAACAAAATTTATATAAACTAATGTTAATATTTAATATTAACGTTTCAGTCGGTTTCACTTTTACTCATTTTCGTTCTCCTGCATAGGTAACTAACGTATAACTGTTTAAATGAAGTGATCAATTTTTTGCAAAAAAATATTAAGGATAATATTTTTTGCAGTCACAATCTTTAAGCCATTTTACAAATTTAGGTAGGGCTTGTTTTCAATTTTTGTAATTTTAAAGTTTTTTTGCTAAATTTGAATGCATTTTTTGGATTATTTTGTCCTCTTTGGTGTCAATGAAATTGAATTTATTGATCATTCCTATGTAGTATGTAGTAATGTATTGCATATAATATAATATATGTATGTATGCTAGTATGTATGTATGTATGTATGTATGTATATATGTATGTATGTCCTGTCATTCAGCTGCATTCGTCTGCTTCTATATTTAATTTGTCATTATTATTTTTAGATTTTAATTTTATTTTCATTATTTTTAAAATATCTTATTCATTATATGATGACTAAGTTTGTTTTGCTCTACTACTCACAAAAAGGAGTTTTTGTTTGAGTTTTTCATACATATAGTATAGATGTATGTATACTGTTTATAATACAATATTAAATATACATACTCAGACTGTCATACAACAAATAAAACTACATACATGAAAAATATTGTGCTTTTATATATATAAATGTGTGTGTGAGAGTGTGTGCGTGTGTGTATGTTTGTGTGTGTGTGTTTGAGTGTTTGATATATTGGTGATACTCATAATCTAGTACCTAGTTCTAGTTAGATATTAAATTTAAGGATGAAGAAATCAAGGAATGAATGAATGTTGGAAATAAGACGTGCCTGGTTTTCAAATCCACTCTCACAATTTAATTCTAGGTCATCATCACTTAGAGGAGATAATACATTCAAATTATTAAATGAATAAATAAATATATAATTAACTAAATAGAAAAATAAATAATAAATAAATAAAAACAAATGAATGAATACTAATAAATGAATCAAGTTTGGCCAAATCTCAAACAAAACATCATTTACCTTCCTCGTCGTCGTCGTCGTCGTCGTCATTGACATTAAAACTACCAACAAAACAAGAAGACACAGACACACACACACACACACACACACACACACACACATGCACACACATAGAGAGAAGCCAACATGCTTAATGATAACAGCAGCAGCAACAACAACAACGTGAAACCTCTTCAAACGTCATGCAGCACAAACCGCTACACATGATTTGTGATCAAGTCATCTGCGATGCCTGTGACAGCAGCAGAAACCAGCAAAGGTACCAAAGAAAACCCCTAAAGAACCTTACCCTAGCCCTTTATTTCATGACATTCGTCCTATTAACCTGCCTTCTACTGTTCATTGGCAGTGATTACATCAAAAAAACTCTCGTAACAATGGAGAAGAGTCATTCGGTTCTTACAGTTATTTTGTTTCTTTGCTTTTTCATCTTTGTATCGTTTCCACTAACTTGGGGTTACGTGCTACTGAATCTTGCGGCTGGTTACCTATACGGGGTTGTTAGTGGGGTGCTGGTAGTTTCCATGTGCGCCCTGGTCGGGGTCACGACCTCCCATTTTGTCATTCGGCGTTACATGGTGTCGTGGGCGGTTATGGACGTCATTGTGAATAATTTTAGGAATTTGGTGACCGTTATCGAGAGTGACCACGGGTTCAAGGTCGTCGTTCTTACGAGGTTGACCCCGATACCCTTTGGTCTGCAAAATGCCTTGTTTGGGGTTTGTATTGTATGTGTGTTGCACTTTGTTTGTTTGTTTGTTTGTTTGTATGTATGTAGGTCGCCGTTGGTTTGTATGTTGTCTGTGTTTTGTATGTCTGTTATTTGTGTTCATTTTGTGTTGCATGTTTGCCTGCATCGTGTTTTTTTTTGTTTGTAACATATAACATTCTGAAATACGTAAAGATTGTGGAGATGCGAATATGAATGAAGTGAAATTGTGGATGTTGTAGAGTTGCGAATATGAATGAAGTAAAATTGTGGATGTTGTAGAGTTGCGAAGCATCATTAAGGACCGCGAAGACTATTTAAATTTCAAAATGTGCACCTCGCTCGTGTACAGATGTGCCACCTAGAGTACAGATGTGCCACATAGAGTACATAGAGTGTACAGATGTGCCACATGTTTGCCTGCATCGTGTTTTTTTTTGTTTGTAACATATAACATTCTGAAATAAGTAAAGATTGTGGAGATGCGAATATGAATGAAGTGAAATTGTGGATGTTGTAGAGTTGCGAATATGAATGAAGTAAAATTGTGGATGTTGTAGAGTTGCGAAGCATCATTAAGGACCGCGAAGACTATTTAAATTTCAAAATGTGCACCTCGCTCGTGTACAGATGTGCCACATAGAGTACAGGGACTACATGACTGCCTCCATGCTGGGTATGCTACCAACCCAGTTGATCCACGCCTATGTCGGCTCTACCCTTCGATCCATGCAGGATGTCGTCTCTAATAACAACAACAACAATCTGGCCTATTTCATATTTTGCTGTCAGGTTGTTGTCGTTGTTGTTGATGTTTTATGTTTCCGTCGTCGGTGGTGGTTTTGTGGCTATTGTTGTTTGTTGTTGGTGGTGGTGGTGTGGTTGTTTTTGTAGCTGCTGACTTGCATTTATTGTAGTTAATAATTATAACCTTATTCCCTCTGAACAGTTCTTATTAATTGTGGCTCTGTTTGCATTCGTTTCAAGGAAAGCGCAACAACTGCTAGCCAACATATCAACAACGACGATGATGACGACACAACAACAACAACAGCAACAACAACATCAGAACTGTCCACAGTATCGTCTCGCCGTTGTCGTTGACCTGTAGTTAGTAGTAATCGCTTTACCGATAGCTACATAGACGGCAACTTAAACAACAACAACAACGACATTACAAACAACGACTCCACAGCGTAGACGACAACAGAAGGACTGTTCGCTCTACATAGATGTCGTCTCTAGATTATTTTCTTCACGTTGTCTGTCTGTTCGTGTTGATGTATTAAATTATGATTTTGTTGATGTTTTCATCTTTTGTTTACGTTGTCTTATAGGTGCGTGTGTGTGTTTGAGAAATCGAGAGAGAGAGAGAGAGAGAGAGAGAGAGAGAGAAATGGGTAAAGAGAGAGAGAGAGAGATAGAACGTAAGACGGTGTCGCTCAGTGCATACTTAGTTCTTACTTGAGGTGTTTATCTAGTAAATGCCGCTATGAAGAAAAATTTTTCGCATGTTATCGATTAGTAAATTTTGAATGATAGGGTTGCATATTTCTCTCTCTCCCTTTTTCTCTTTCTCTCATTTTTTCATTTGTTCATTCATTCGTTCATTAATTTATTTCAAGTATTTATTTATGGGTATATTTATTACAGACACACATAAATCGCAATGTGCATATTTTGAACAGTTCAAAACAAAGTCATTTGTTTATTGTTACATTTATAACCTTATATAAATAAATTATTAATAATAATAATGTTAATAATAATAATATTGTTATTTATTATTATTATTATTTACGTCATTCACCTTATTTTATTTGCATAATGACCTTACGGAGTTACGTCTTTCAAAAATTCATTCGTGTATTCGTATATACATACTTATATGTATCTGTATGTGCGTTAGTCTATCTGTCTGTCTGTCTGTGTGTTTGTGTCTATCTGTTTATGCAGGCTTGTGTGTATATAAATGCTTGTCCGTGGATTTTCCGATATTCTAATAGAAGTACATTGATTGAGATAACCATGGTATTTGTGTGCGTGCGTGTGCGTGCGTGCGTGTGTGTGTGACATAAGAGTGTACCCATTTGTGTGTGCGTGCGTGTGTGTGTGAGTTCCTGTTCAGTTATTTGTTATCGACTCTCTCAGAGTAGTACTTACTTTTTAGTCACGAGAAATTTTATATCGATTGACTTAAACATATAAAGAAAACCTCCTTTTTAAATTTAATTTAATTATTTTTGTTGGTTTTAATTTATTGCGTTATTTATATCCACATATACCCATATCATACGTACGTGTGTGTGTTTGTATGTGCGTGTGTGTGTGAACGTATATATATGTAATTTCAAATTTTAATTTACTTAAATAATTATATTACTATGGTATTCTTTGTTGTTTTAAAAATGGATATTTCATCTTTTCAGTTTCTTGTTTGGTTTTTTTTCGATTGGTTTTATAGAGATGTTTTGCTCAATTATTTTCACTTCTATTCATTTCTTTAGTTTTTTCATTCATTCGTTCGTTCATTCATTTACTCATTCATCCATCCAATCAATCATCCATTCAATCATTTTGTTTTATTTTGTTCATTCATTCATTCATTCATTTATTCATTCATTCATTCATTCATTTATATTTTTATTTCATTGGCGTGGTTTAAACATGGTTCTCAAATAGTTACATCATTTTCTGCAAACATTATTCTTATGCGTAAGAGTGTGTGTATCCATATGTGTGTGCGTGTATCCATATGTGTGTGTGTGTGTGTGCGTGTGTGTGTACGTGCGTTAGACAATCTATAGATATCATAATTTTTGTTTTGTTTCCACCCTGCATATATAGCTTTTAATTTCATTTGTATTGATATTGTTTCCGAACTACGTATGTGTATGCACCTGTGTGTATGTATGACTTATGTGTGTTTGCATGTGTGTTCGTGCGTGTGTGTGTGAGTATGTGTGTATATATGTGTGTGAGTATGTGTGTATATATATATATATATATATATATATATATATATATATATATATATATGTGTGTGTGTGTGTGTGTGTGTGTGTGTATACGTATTCGTAGAGACAATTTCGAGTATTGAAGGATGGATTCGATGAATTCAATTTCTATCAAGTCAATTTTTGCCAGTAAATAAACAAACAGAAAGAAAAAATATATTTATACACCTATAAGATTTCATAATTGTTATTGACTTTATGATCATATACAATCTTATAACTATCTATACGGTTTGTGTACAAACACACAGTGTGCAAACACACACTCGAACGCTTTCGAGAAGCGTTCGAGTGTGTGTTCGTGGCCCTATCTCCCGAGAGAATGTAGGGAGGTTGTTCTGGGCCGAAACATTTGTCGACTTCTCGATGATTTGGCTCAACGGAGTTCTCACATACATTTAGTCATTATATCTCAATGATTTCTAACCTTATTATTATTACTACTATTATTATCATAATAGTATTTCTAACCTTATTATTATTACTACTATTATTATCATAATATTAATAATAATAGTAAGTATTATTATTGTTGTTGTTCTTTATAATATTCACCATAATAACATTTTATTATTAATATGATTAATTATTATTATCATTCGTTATAATTACGTATTTACATAAGAGACATTGCAATTGATATTGAAGCGTGATAATAATAATAATAATTATTATTATGGTTATTGACAATAATAATTATTATTATTGTTATTATTGTGATAAATTATTATATTGGCTGCCACTTATCAATATTTTTATTAGCTCTAGTTTACACCGCGTGTGTGCAATATGTGTCCATTCATTTATTACTTCATTCGTTTCTCTTTTGTTCATTTATTCGTTCATTTCTCCATTCATTCATTCTTCCATTCATTCATTCACTCTTCCATTCATTCATTCATTCATTCATTCATTCATTCATTCATTCACTCATTTACTTTTGCTTGGACCAACCATAGAAAGCTTCAATTCGTATTATTCCAAATGGTCACATCATATGATTTTTCTCGTTAAATGATGTTTAATACCAATTTTTAAGGGTTATATTTATATATAAGTGTGTATGTGCATGTGTGTGTATGTGTGTTATATACGGCATCCTTGTTTTAAAATTTGAACAATTACACCAACCAAAAGCCATTCATTCACTTATATAGTCATCCATTCGCTGGTAGTACATTCATTCATTCAATCATTCACTCATTAATTCATTTAGTTATTCGTTCATTCATCTATTAGCGGCCTCTTGTACATTTACAACATGTAATACATTAATGCTAATGTCTGTCTGGCTGTTGTAAATGTTGAAATAATAAAAACTTATCCTACTCTACTGGCCATCAATTAATAATAAAGTAAACATATAAATGAATGAATGGATAAATAAATAAATGAATGGATGGATGGATGGATGAATGAATGAATGAATAGATGGATGAATGATTGGAAGAATGAATGGATAAATAAATACAACAGGCACGAAGGATTTGATTTCAGTAAAAGAATTTTATTTGCAAAAACAACACTTCAAATTGTAGAATATATATATATATATATATATATATATATATATATATATATATATATATAAGCAATATATGAAAAAATTATTATTATTAGCGTTATTATTGTCACCATTGGATAGCCATAAATATGTATACACTTGAAATACTTGCTGAATGAATGAATGATTGGATGGGTGGATGAATGATCGATCGAATGAAGGAGTGAATTATGAATGAATGATCGTGTTATTGAATTATAGAGCGAACGAATGAATGTATAAACGAATGAATGACCGATGGATGAATGAATGAATCCAATTGTATACATATATTATATCAATTCTTAATGAGGTATAGCTAAAATAATCATCGTCGTCATCACTACTAAATATACTATCATCATCATCATCGTTAACCAAATTTATTATTGTTGTTCTTATTATTATTATTAATGCCCCAAACATATTTTTAAAAAATACCGAAAACTACAGCAATGACAGTTACAAATTAGATTAGCCAGTACGAGACTTCAATACGCAATGTACATTGATACACTGGCGTTAACAATTTTGAAATCAAACACAATAACCATAAAAAATAATACAAAACCATATACATACACACACACACACACACACACACACACACACACACATTTATATATATAGACATTGAATATACATATATATATTAGCACTATGTAAACCATAATGTATGTTTGAAGAGAACCATAGTAAGTACAAACAGTACAATATACAGTGTACACACACACACACAAAGACGTAGTACAATTCAGTACAGTTCATCTAAAGTAAACAAAGACAGACACACACAGATGCAAACAGCGCCACAGCAAAGTAGCTATTAAAATTAACAAGCGGTACTTACAAGCCAGCCCCTCGTGTACTGGGGTTAATGATGCGTGTTGTATATTGTTGTTGATAGATTGCTACTGGGCGGGCGCAATTGTTTGCTCCTTTTCGGCACTTCGATTACTATTTTATTATTATTGTTGTTGTTACTATTATCACTATTATTATTGGTAATGTTTGGTTGTTGTTGTTGTTATTATTTTTCATTTTCATCTTCCTATCATTGTTGCACTGACATTACCAACCCCTTAACCAACCAACCAACCAACTAACCAACCAACTAACCAACCAACTAACCAACCAAACCAATCAAACCAACCAACCAACCAACCTATCAAACCAACCAACCAATCAAACCAAACCAACCAACCAATCATCAAATTTGTGCCATCTAGCAGAACATTTAATCAATTAACTCATGATAACAACAATAATAAAAATGATAAAACAAAATGATTGAACCTGAACAACATTAAACAAACAAACGAACGAACGAACGAACGAACGAACGAACAATAATAAGCTCTACAGTTATTTTTGTTACAATACATAAATATACACGTATATGTATGCTGCCAATAATCAAAGAACGCGATTGATTGCAAAGAGAGAACGACACGCACACACACACACACGCGCGCACATACACACAAACAAAACACAACCAACATACATCCATACATAAAAATAAAACAAGCATACATATAGGCAAACAAACAAACACACACATAAACAAACATACATATAAAATATAATACCAGTGAAAATACATTAAATAACATCAACTATGACAACATCAATAAAAACCATCTCAAAAGTAGTTTAAATAGTAGGGACT